CCCCGAGCACGTGCAACCCTGCGGCGAGCAAAATACAGAGGCCTGTGCGCTGACAGGCGAGGGGGAGGAGGCAAGACTGAGCATTCGACATGTTTGTCCAAGAGCTCGCACCGATGGTGGTTGCAATAAAACCTGTCGATGCGGGACTTTACGATGCCCGTCTCGCATGTAAAATGGTCTTGAGACCACTCTTCCATGCCAAACTTGATGCGAGTATGAGTGTCAAAAGACTTTCTTTCTGCTACATTGGTCTGGCCAGACCATTGTCCGGAAGCTTTCTGCAAACGGTATAACGCATGCTCAGTAAAGTTAAAATCGCCAAAAAGGACAGAACATGCCTTCGACTGGTCTGTACACTTGGCGGCAACCTTCTCCAGAGTGAGCGCCCTGGCAGAAGGCGAGTGAGCATCCAAATAAACAGTCCATACATCAAAATTGCCCTGCGGCCCCCGGAGACGCAGCGCAGCGGCCCTCCCCCTGTCTACAACGCGCCAGCGGCGCTGTTCGAACTTTGACAGAAAACTCGAATTCACAAACAGCGAGAGGCCGGCTTGCGATCGACTGAAATGGCTCCGAACAATTTCCGTGCCACAAGGCGGGACGAAGGCAAGCCCCCGCCCAGGGGTGCCGTGCACCTCCTGCAGTCCAACAAAATCGACTGCCTGGATCAGACGTTCGACAAACTGATGTCTCCTGCGCTGGTTTAGCACTTTGCTTGAAAAGAACGCTCGCGCATTCCATGGCGCTCCAGAGAAATCTCCGGTAAAAGGACAGTTGGGGCAAGAGGCCAAAGGGGGAGGGGGAGAGAGAGGAGGAACGCACGGGGGAGCGAGAGGAGAGGAAGACAAACTGAGGCAATCTCCAAAAAGTCACTCCCTCAAGGCGCGGTCGACAGCCAACTGCAAGTCGTCGCCCTGCATCTCCCACCCCATGCTGTTCACATTGTTGGCGTTGATTTCTACCCTCGCCAGCGCTCCATCGCCCTTCAACTCGCCAATCCGCTTGTTGTCCACCATAGGGACCCCCATGCCGACGTCGAAATCGATCGTTGTCTCATCCACCCCTTTCTTCTTCAGCACGTCCTTAAGCACTACCAAAAACCGGACACTGGCGCCAAAGACTGGCCCACGATCAGGCCCAATGTTGATCGCTTTACCGTTGAAGTTCACTCTCTCCACGTTCCTCGTCTGCTTAATGTAATCATCCATCGCCTGCTTAGTTATAAACCGGACTGATCCTCTCTCACACAATTTCCTCTTGGTGTACGGTTTGCCTTCCGTCTGTACTGCATGCTCCCCTAGCGTCGTCGTAATGAAGTCGATGATGTCGTTATCCCGGGTGTAAATCGGAATCCCTTTGAACACCACAGTGCGCTCGAGGTGCTCGACCTTCTCTGGAGGTATCGGATTGTTGTCCCGGTCGACCCACTTCATGTGCTGCCCTGGTGGTGCACCTGATGTCCCTGGTGCTTTTGAAACCCCTTTGCTGTTCAACGCCTGCTGGATCATCTTCGTCACCTCCTCCCGGCCGACCTTCTCTTCCCTCATCTTTGCCATTTCGAACTTCATCGCCATAACTCCCTCCGGGGCCCCACTTGCTAGAGATCCCTCGCTGTTCTCCTGGATCTGGCCTTTCATGTCCCCGATCTGCTCATCGATATGCTTGGTGAGATCTGTCTTAACCGTGTTCGTCATCGTCGTCATGTGAATCATCAACTTCTCCATCATCGTCTGAATCTGTCCAAGCGTGGAGGCAGCGTTCACATCCCCGGCCACGGACAAGTTCCATGAGTGAGCAGTCGAAAATGAATCACCTGAAGCGGCCCCCGTCGAAGCCGCAGATGCCGGCGCCATGTCGGAGTCAACTCTCTCCGGCTCGTTCACACGAGGTCGCACGTCCCTGGCCTCCTTCTTCGGTGACCCGTTTTTCTTCGTCCCGGTGTTCACCATCTCGTACACTCACTCCTGAAGCAGCACAAGCCCAGACTGGAACCCTCAGTCGAGGCAATCCCCAGCGATTCCGGAAGAGAAGAGTACAGTAAAGAGATGTGAACTGGCGAGGAGGGAGTCTTGACCACTCCTCCTTGAGCCAAAACGGCTTGAGCCAAAATGACTACTACTTCAGCCAAAATGACTACTACTTGAGCCAAAATTGTCTACGACTACTTGAGCCATACTTACCTACTTACTTACACACAGATGCATACAAACACATACATGCATATAAACATACATACATACATACATACATGCATACATACAGACATGTTACATACATACATATCGGCGGTGCCCGGTGCAGAACGTTTACATACACACCTACATACATACATACATACATACATACATACAGACAGACAGACAGACAGACAGACATGCATACATACATACATACATACACACATACATACATACATACATACATACATACCTACCTACATACATACATGCATGCATGCATGCATGCATGCATACATACATACACACATTACATACATACATACATACAGACATACATACACACATACATACACACACTGACATACATACATACATACATACATACATACATACAAGCATACGTGATACATACATACATGCTACATACATGCATGTTACATACATACATGCATACATACATGTATGCATACATACATGTTACATACATGCATAATCGCTCGTCCTGGGGGTTCGTGCTGGCCGCACCGCCGATGCAGGCCGGTACGAACCCCACCGGGATGTACGAACCCCCCGGGGCCGGCGCGCCCTGGTACGAAACCCCCCGGGACGCCCCGCCGGTGCGCCCCGGTACGAACCCCCCCGGGATGGCCAGAGCGCAGGGTAGCGCCCGGGCAGCGCGTGCGAGCGTCCAGCGGCGGCGTCGGCGGCGGCGTCGGCGACGGCGGCGTCGGCGACGGCGACGACGACATCAAGAGATCCCCGGAGGCCCCCGCAGCCCCAGAAGCTTCCCGGAAGTTATAGGGGGCCAGCCGTTCTCGGAGCTTCCCGGAAGTAGGGGGCCGGCTTTCCGCAATCCCCCGGAGGTCTCCCTGGGGCTCCCCACCCCTCCTTCAACTCCTCCCCACTCCGTCGCACTCCTCAGCCATCCTCACCGCTCCTCCCGACTCTTCCCCACTCCATCGCAGTCTTCGGCCCTCCTCGGCACTCTTCCAGCCTCCTCCTCACTCCATCGCAATCCTCAGCACTCCCCCCCGCTCCTCCAAGCTCCTCCCCACTCCATCGCACTCCGCGGCTCTCCTCCCAGTTGCCCCAGACTCCTCCCCACTCCATCGCCCTCCTCGGCCCTCCTCGGCACTCTTCCCGACTCATCCCCACTCCATCGCACTCCTCACCGCGACAACGACGCTGACGACGACGACGACGACGACGACGACGACGACGACGACGACGACGACGACGACGACGGACGACGACGACGACGACGACGACGACGACGACGAGGACGACCACCACTACCACCATCCCCCCACGCCCACAGGGTGGGCGTGGGGGGGCCACCACGCCAAGCCCACAGGGCATCGCGCGGGGGGGTTGGGCCGATGGCTCAGCATGAGGGGGGGGCCAGACCTGGGGCATCTATCTCATATTCTTCCGTCGATCCGTCCATCCATCCGTACCTCCACTCATCCATCTATAGTCCTCCCTCCCACCCCACGCCCACGCCCAAAAGACCCATTCCCCTCGCTCCCACGCAGCCCCCCCCCCGCCCCCACAGGAGCCCCCCCCCACTCCCACAGGAGCTCCCCCACTAGCAAAGGGGGGGGGGCGCCAGTGCGCCCAGGACAACACCCCCCGGGAAAGAGGGAGAGGGGGGGTTCCAGGTCGTCGGCGGAACATACATGTACATGTACATGTACATGTACATGTACATGCATACATGCATACATTCATACGTACATACATGCATGCATACATACGTATATGCAAACATACATACATGCATGCATGTATGCATGCATACATGCACACCTACACATATACATACACACATCCACACCTACCTACCTACCTACCTACCGACCTACCGACCTACCGACCTACCGACCTACCGACCTACCGACCTACCGACCTACCTACCTACTACCTACCGACCTATCTACCTACCTACCTACCTACCTACCTACCTACCTACCTACCTACCTACCTACATACATACATACATACATGCACACATACGCACATACATGCATACATGCATACACACATGCATCCATTAATACATGCATGCGTACATACACACATGCATACATACATACATGCATGCATGCAGGCAGGCATACATACATGCACACACATACATTCGTACATACATACATACATACATACATACATACATACATACATACATACATACATACATACATGCATGCATGCATACATGCATACATGCATACATGCATACATGCATACATGCATACATGCATACATGCATACATGCATACATGCATAAATGCATACATGCATTCATGCATACATGCATACATGCATACATGCATACATGCATACATACATACATACATACATACATACATACATACATACATACATACATACATGCATGCATGCATGCATGCAGACAGACAGCAGACACACAGGCAGCCAGACAGACAGCCGCAGCCGTCGACAGGGGACAGACAGACAGACAGACAGACAGACAGACAGACAGACAGGCAGACACACAGACAGACAGACAGACAGACAGACACACAGACAGACAGACAGACAGACAGACAGACAGACAGACAGACAGACAGACAGACAGACAGACAGACAGACAGACAGACGGACATACATGCTGACACACCGCTCCTGGGCCCAGGATGGGCCTGGCCAGCGGGCAGTGGATGTGTCTAGAGCTCGTCGCCCTGAGGCGGGCCGCGGGGGGGCAAACCCAGGTGCGCAAGCCGATGCTGCGGTGGGCCCCCCTGGGCCCGCACCAACGGTCCCTCCGGCGCAGGGCCACTCCTACGCGCAGCCGACCTCTGCGGGCGTGGCCTCTCTGGCCGCGGGTAGGGCCGCGGGGGCCGCCCGCTCCAGCCCCGGCACGGGGGAGCCGGCGGAGCGCAGCGCGCGGCCGCGCCAGGCCTCCACCGCCCGTGTCTTGGCGGCCGCGCCGCGCCGCGCCCCCGCGACGCCGCAGAGCGCCTCGCGGGCGCGGCGGACCCAGTCGCCGTACCGCGCGGTGCCGAGCAGGCGCCAGTCCTCGGGCGTGGCGCAGCGCGGGGGGAGAAAGGGGGGAGGGGGGAAAAGGGAGGCCCCAAAGCGGGCCCCGAGACGCTTCAGAACTGCCTCCAAGAGACTCCGCCAGGCCTCCGAGCAGTTCCCAAGACGCCCGCAAGAGACTCCAGACAGTGCCCAAGAGGCCCACGACGCCTCAACCGCGGACTCCCCGCCTCTTCTGGGGGTCGGCTGGCGAAAGCCTCCTGAACAAAGGGGGAGGGGGGAAGGAAGCTGCAGCTCTCGTGCACCTCGGGGGGCCCCAAGGGGCCCTTCGGGGCCCAAGAAGGGGCAGGAACGGTGCACGCTTCTTCGCCCCCCATTCGATCGCCCCCCAAGTTAGGCAACGCCCGGAGTCCTCCAGCATGGGCAGGAGCCGTCCGCCGTCGTGGAGCGCGAGGAGCTCGCCGAGGGCCACGCAGGAGTGTTGCTTGCCGCCGGGCAGCTTGATGGCAAAGGTGCCTCCGTCGAGGCCGCCGTCCTTGTCGTTCAGGACGCCCTGGAGCTGCTCCAGGGCTTTCTTGTCGATGCCGGACGGCCCGCCCAAGAGGATGACGACCTCGCGGATGGGGCGGTTCGGGTCGTGCGAGAAGAATGGGGTCGCCACGCCCAGGTTGACTACCTCGAGCCCGTGGACGTCCAGCATCCGCCACCGTGGCCCCCTGGCACGTTGAGGCGTGGTAGAATGCCAAGGGCTCCCTGGTAGATTCTCTGCAAGTCTTCTGAGTGGCCCACCCATCCACGCATCACATCCGTGGG